CATAAATTAATTTAGTGCAATAAAAATTTCTGGAATTTATCTGTTGTGTTACTGATATTATTACGTAATAATTCTTATATTATGTTGAATTATTAATTACGTATTATTTGTGTAAATTATTGTATTATTTTAATTATTACGTATCAGCTGTCGTATTAGCATAACTGGTACGTTTTATCGTGTAAATAATTGTCACATAATTATTTGATTTTAAATATAAGTAAATATATTTTTATTATTATTTATTCCAGTTTAATTATATAATATGTGTATATTTTGACTATTTCGTATCAACTGTTGTATTAGCATAACATATACGTTTTTATTTATAGATAATTATTCCGTAATTGGTTTAATTTTTGTATACCCGTAACTATTTATTTAATTATTTTCGTTTAAATATCTGAAACTATTTGAAAATAATCCCAAATTATTTTGCTTCCCGCGTCAAACCCCCAACAGCTATCCCCTCATCACGTACTCTCCCTCCTCTTTTTTTTCCAAGAAAACGGCTCCACGTGCACCGTAAAATTAGACTAAGCAGCTCCACATCAATTATATTTTAATTTTTTATTATTAAATTTTCCTATTTAAACCCACCCTCAGCCAATCTCCTCTCGTGCTCACCCTCTCTCTCTCCTCCATTTCCCTAAAACTCCACCCAGCTCTTCTCTCTCTCTCTGCTCCTCTCTCTCGAACTCTCTCTCTTCCTGTCATCTCGTCTCATTCATCTTCCTCTCTCTCGAGGCTCGAGGCCTGCACGCCAGGTCGCGCTGCCGGCTCCACGCCGACGAGCCGCTTGGCTCGCGCTGGCTTGGCGACCGGCCGCAGCCTGCTCGGCGAGCCGCTCCGCCCAGCATGCGCAGGCAGCCGCCAATCTCCTCTCTCGCGACCTCGCCAGCGCAAAGCCCTGAAGCAGGTCCCCACCGAGCTCATGTCACGTTGAACTCCGACCGAGAAATATCTAAAAAACCTCGCGAAGAACCCCAGCCGTGACAGCTCTTGACTCAGCAAACTGCCGACTGACCCACCCGCGCTGCTCCTCCGTCCACGGACCACAAGGCAGCCCCCCACTGAGATCGGCCCTGCCGTCCTGCCTCTGACAGGGCGCCGAACACCCTCGATCTTCTCCTCCGTTTGCCGGTCAAAGCAGCTCCTCCGACCTCCTCCTTCCTCGTTCGCGATGACACCCAGCGCCCAGCCTTCCTGCTTCCACCACCTCGCCGCTGTCCCTAAGAAGTGGAGCATCACTCACCCGACATCGAAAAAAAAAACAAATCCTGTCTACTCGGGCGCCAACCGCGCCGCTCAACCAAGTCCCCACACCCTCGCTCGTCCACCTCCCGTTCAACCAGCTCTCCTCCCCCTATCCGCCAACCCTGTCCTCCCTCAGCCCCACCATTTCCCTGCTCAGCCCGAGCCTAAAGCTCACCGCCCTACGTGCCGCCCTCCCCACGATGTTGTCCTCATCTCAAACAGTTGATGTCGTTCCACCGTCGACCATCGTCACCGCATCGAACCGCTGCACACGCCAACGAACAGTAAGTAGCGTAGTCGCCGCCTCGTCCA